CCAGAAATCTTTTAGAAGCAAACTCATTCTGGTGATCTCGTTGTCATGGCTTTCCACCTCATATTCCAGATCTAAAACCTATGGAGCACTTGTAGAACCGTTTTAACCGGAAGAGGGCGAGGCACAGACCCGCCAGCCAGGCTGACTTGAGGCAAGTGGTCAACGAATGCTGGCAAGGTATTGAACGTGTGACATTAAAAAACCTATGGAATCTATGCGAGCAAGAATAAAGGTCATTTCAAGAGCAAAAAAGAGGGAACTAAGCAATGACTTGTAAATGCATGTTTGCACATTAAAATACGTAAAAATGAATATCATAACATCTCATAGTTGTTGTACAGCATGTATTTTTCTGTTTACTTATTTACTTTTTTCTAGTTCACTTATCGGTAAGGTTTTCTGTAGGATATTAATATATGCTGCTAAAACAATGAAATACAGTCACTGGACTCAAACTTTTGCCTCCTACTGTATATAATAGCATGACGTACAGCAGTGACCGGGCTGCCTGTGAACGAACTGAATTAATCGCCTGAAGATCGAGATAATCGTGAAACTCAGAGTAGCGATAACTAAATAAATTCATTTGAAGACTTAATTTCATCTACTTAATATATATATATATATATATATATATATATATATAAATACATATATATATATATATATATATATATATATATATATATATATATATATATATATATATAAACTACCAAAAAAATTTCCAATGCCAAAACGGAATTTCTCATTGTTTTGATCGGGGTGATAGTCTCGCGAACCTCGGATTTTTGTATTTTAAAAGAGCAATTAAGGATGGAAATAAAGTTTATTCGTAAATATACGAATGCGTCGCTCTGCATCTATCCGATCTGGTTACCCACCATCATGTGAGTAAATATTAATTATTCGCTGTGAATTAAACTACGCAGTTTTGTTTTGGCGTTCGAGTAAATTTTTGTTTTTTGTTCTGTGAATGTGACACAGTCTTGAGGCACTGATAGTTCTTTTTTTGCCCAGTCTTCATGAAGCCTGGAGCATGGAGCTCTTTTTGAAAGATATTTTTCATCGCGAAAATTCATTTTATTAGTTTCAAATGTTTGTATTTTTTTAAACTCGTTCGTAAGTTCGTTTCCCTATGGATGACACCATGAGTGTATCTGTCCTATAAAAACTGAGATTGGATAATATTCTGATTTTGTGTTTTGTGAGTGTATATTCTGTTGTAAACGTGAACAACCTGGACTCACTTCTTTTATCAGATATCGTAGTAAATTACACGCTGTCTGGGACAAAAATTTTCGAATATGTTGTTTTTCTCATTATTCAGGCCAAAATATCATTTTGCAACACTTTCAATTGTTGTTGCAATCAAAGCCATATGACTCCTAATTGGGTGAAATATTGGGTTGGCGAGAGAAACGATAAACGCAAAAATATTTTACCACCTCGTACATTTGTCTCGCAGAACGTAGTGACTTATTTGCATTTTCAGCTTCCCCACATTTCATATTCATGTTGTGCATAATCAATTTCTTTTTAAATCGATTGTCTTTACAGTCTCTTAACATGAATATGTGAGTATGGGTACCCGCCCCAATAATCGTGTTTCCCACGCTACTATTTTACAAAATTCAATTATATGGATATTAAGTCCGGTCTTTATGACGAAAAAACATGTAGGTTCAGTGTTCACATCGCCACCAACTGCCACTACATATCGCCGACTGAGAGTGATTTACGAGAACAACCATGCAGGTGCTCAGACGAAAATTTTGAAACAATTTATCTACAATCCTTCACAAAATATATTGAGACTTGCATATTTATCTATAAAATGAGCAAATTCATACCACCAGGAGCTCGTCATTCCCCCCCTCCCCCTTCAAAACAATGTTGACAGTTATTACAAGCATTGTGCTACACAATTTTAACTCAAACGGCAGCAACACTGCTCTGTAGGGGGGAGGGGAGCGAAAATCATATTTTCACCACAGTGGTCTCATAATTTTTGTGAAGGATTGTAGTTTATATTTACGCTTGCACAGTCTTGTATTTTAAGTAGTAACAAGACGCCTACTAGGCGTTATGGTCGCGTCGTTCACAGCGGCGTAGCCAGCCCATTAGCCAGCCCAGCTATGCAAATTTTGTGTCGTAAATGTTCTTAATCCCCGAGCGGGCGCGGAGCGCCTGCGAGGGTACTAATTCCGCTCGGAGATTAGGAATTACACCCGGCACCCGGTAGAACATAGGCGAATCCAAAGTTGTCCAAATTCTTTGTCATGGACGGTCGACGTTGGGTGGTTTTGTAAGTTATGCGCATGCGCGAGTAACGTCTGGTGATCAACGAACGTTCTGATTGGCTAAGACAGAAAGTTTGTATTTCAATGAGAACGTCAGCAATTTATATTAACTGTCATTTCGTAAACATTTTTGTAAAAGCGTTTCATAAACTTTGTGCAAAGAAAGTAAAACGAGAAGAAACAAGATATATGAAGCATGACAGTTAGCAAAGATGAACGTGGATACGGTCAAGACAAAGCCGTGTAAGAGGAATAATTCATAATCTGAATACTTATAAATGTTTTCAAAGACAAAGGGTACGTTTTTTCCTTTGTTTATTTCGTATTTGTTTCGCGATAAGAATGAGCCGTATTTGTATACTTTTCAGCTTTGTATGCCGTTTATTTGTTAAATTTTCAGCTTTTTATGCGAACGCATAAACCTTTGAAAGGCTATTGCACCTTTGCTTTAACTTCAAAAAGTGTTTTTGAAAGTGTAATTTGAATTTTGGTATAAAAAATACACACTATATTTATAAAGTATAAAACTTTTAGCTGCCGGCGTCGACTGCAATTACAGAATAAAATAACATTTGAGATTTTTTCTTTGTCTGTAAAGATTTTGTACTGTTTTAATCGTTTGAGACTTCGATTTTAAACTGTTACTTAATTGCTGGCAAGGTATAATGCAGCAAAATTGAACGGGCAATGTTTACACTAGCTTTATGATTATTTTTGTATTGAATGATGGAAACATTAGCTATATAATAAATATGCTCGATAAATATAATAAGACTGATTTGAGTTTTGTGTCATTTCATAATATAAGTTTAGGTCATGTTAACTCAGGAAATTGTGTACTTAGTTTGAAATAGCGAGGGGTTGCTGCATGCATGTATTTCTAGTAATAAAAATGAACAATATACCGAACTATATATGGGTCACATGTTGAAAGCAGGAGAAACACAGAACAGCCCATTTCAAAACCGCTCTACATCTTTTACTTAGGGTAGCCGGTGTAGGCTTACTGTATGTGCTCGGCGTGTGCGGCTGTATATATGTGTAATGAACGTAAAGATGAGGAAAGCGTTTGCTAGCATTTTGATCGCTTTCTTGATTCTACTTTACTGCTTCGAAATTCGAAGGTGAAACGAAATATGCCCAAAGTGAATACAAGACGTGATATAACTAGCAACTTACCTGTGCGCAGGTTCCCGATTAGGGTGATATGGCCTGCAGCTAGCGACGCTGGGGGTCGACCCGAGAGGAAAATAATAAAAAAACCAAGCCGAAACCACAGAGCATACAGAGTTCGACCTTGCATTAATAATGCGTTCCTAGCGGCCATGTTGTTAGCAATTGCGCTAAAGAGAGGCCCTATCCCCCCCCCCAAACATTATAAATAGCCATCGCTATATAACTAAACAGATCGCTCCCACTTCTATACTCTTCTAAAGGATAAGTACTAACAAAATCTGGTTTTGAGAAAAAAATTGAGCAACGTTTTTGTCAAAAATACGATTTCTCCAGATAGTTCTGTCTCGGCTGTTTATACTATACATGTGTTCAAGCCGCCGCCATATGCATGCTTTCCCGGGGGGAGAAGGCCTCTCTTGAGCGCACTGGCTAAGCCAGGGGTACGCAAAATTAATGGCAGTCAAACCTCTGTATGCTTTGTGCCGAAACTATAGGTCGCTGTCGCTACGCGACGCGACCAAAAAAAAACCAAGCCGAAACTATAGGTCGCTGTCACTACGCGACGCGACCAACTAGTAATCTAAATATTTATAGCAACAATCACTACATCATCGAAACAAAACGAAGTACGGATCATAGCGAGTTAAATTGATAATATCTTCTATCACACCTCCCAACTAGGTACGCGCTATGATGGTTTAGCCTGTATTCCTTTTATTTTTTCTACTGTAATATATTAGCATGCAGTTATCTGATATGCTGATAACCAGACTGCTTTATTGGCAAAAACGAAACCAACTACCTGCAGCCGTAATCGAGATCGTCTAACGCAAAGAAAATTGTTCAAATGATAAATCTTCAGAACCACTTTTCAACCGAAACTACACATTTGCATTACATTAGTTTAATTTTATCATCAGTTCAAAATCAAGTGCAACGAAGCCTGCATGTGGCCACAGCTTCAGCTGCTTGAGCAGCTGCTTCATACATTCAACAAACCTGAAATAAATATAAAGCCAAATACACACCTTTACTTAGTTTCACGGCATATATTTCGAACGAATTTACAATTCCATCATTTGGTAGACGCGAAGATCCTCACTCTGTGCGGAGACGCATTTTATCACTATATATGCTGTGGTGAAATACGCGGTATCAACAACTCAACTCGGAACTCAACAGGGCGTCTTTAAACTTTCGATTTTAATTCGGCAAACAAGCCAATCATATATCATATTAATATTGCAAAAAATCACGTGAGTCGGGAGGCAGGTTTAACAGATCTTACTTACTGTTTACAAAATTAATGCTACTGGAGATTGGGCAAACAAATTTCCCCCGTGATAAGATTTGTTTTTCATTGTAGTTTCAAATCATTTTGGTGAATGTATGAAGTGAAAGGGGCAAAATTGAATATTGACAAGCTACGATAGTACTGCGAGGTCGGTGATTTCCTAGTATCATCCAAGGTTCTTCCGGGAAGTGAAAGCGAAAGAAATCCTGTTCGGCAAGCCTACAATCATGATTTGCCATCTTTGTGGCAACAATAAGTTGTCCAAAGAATTTCCACATGAACATCTCACTGAGGAGTGTACAGAACATCCATTATTGCATTGCCTTAGAGTAAGTATGCAGTATACTATGTATTTCATTTAAATATCAGCGAGTGATATGTTATTAGGGTTAGTGATTATATAATATTCGATTACACATTGATATATTTAATAATTCCAAATATGTGCGGTGAAGTTATCTGCTCACCAAATTGTTCCTTACAGTGTCTAACGGCATCAGTACGAGTTCATCACCGGTGTTCACAATGTGATGCTCAAGTCAACGAAGACAACAAACATTACAGGAAATATGTCGAGACTTTGGAGTCTCTTTTCCCAGCAGTTGCTACTAACGACGAAGCAATTGAAACTCTGGATTCAACATACGACGATTCGGAATCTCGCATAGTTATAACTACGCTCTCTGGCGATAGTACAACATTACCATTTGATCCTGACCAAACAATTTTGAGTCTGAAAAAAGACATCGAGAAAGAACTGAAAACTCCATCCAACAAGCAATCTTTGTTGTACAACGAAATTGAGCTGAAGGTACAATGCAAATTTTTTTTTATTTAACACACAAAATAATATGTTTATCATTGATTTTCATGAATTGCATCCGTAACTACATGTGGGCTTTAAATTTTTATATTCACGATAGCCACGAGGGGAAACTAACGAAATTCTTACGTTGGAGGATTACAATGTTCAGCCAAACAGCAGAATATACCTGTTGGTCCTATTGTATGCAGTACCAGATGGATTTGACCATGTAATCTTCGACCTTTTCTGGGGATATCCGCATAGAGGCCGTGACTACCTGGATGCATCTGTTTTTCTTTATAGTGGTGCAAAATTTATAGAAGTGGTTGACTATAGCCACACTGAGAGCAAATCGTGCTTGGCAGCAGTCAGGCATTCCGGCGATGTGATGGATGATGCCCAGCAATTGGGTCATCACACCATAAATGTGTCAATAAAATCAATACCAGCTCATATCAACAAGCTGGTGTTTACATTGAGCGCCTGGAATTCTCCAAACATCTCTAAATATCCGAATCCAAGCCTCAAGTTTTTCGATGCTAAATTCCCCAAAAAACAATTGTGTAGCGATGAAATGAGCGGTGCCGCCCATGCTCAGGCAATTGTCATGTGTTGTTTGACGAAAAGAGAAAGTGGATGGCAAGTGTTTAGTTTAAAAAAACTGTCTGCTGGTAACGCTAAGAAATATGATCCATTGAAAAATACTATTGGAAGTCTCATTAGGAAAGGCTGCGTATAGCCCACTACATTGGTTGTAGCTAATTTTCGGTCCTAACAAGTAAAACTAGTGGCAGTGATTATATATTTTGTAAAACTACAAGTTTGCTTATCGTTGCATCACTTGCATGAAATGTTTTGTAGCGCCTTATAAAGATAAAGTTATATATCTTTGTTGGTTGGGTTTGCTCGGTAGTTTGCTGAAAGGTATTGTGCAATCGTAAATGAAGTTTAGATTGTACTTGTTGTTTACTCAAAGGAATCAGTAACAGTTAAAAATTTTGTATTGAATTATGTGTTAATAAAGTATTTACAATCTGCTAAACCCGAGTTGATGCAACTTTACTTTTCCTCGTGTTAGGGACTGGATAGTGGGTACCACAGTCACTTACTAGCGTAAATATATCAGGGTCCGGTTGCATAAAACTTCTTAACTAGATTTTACAAGGTTAGTAGTTAAATGGTAGTTAACTGTGCTCGGAAATAGAAGATTCTGGTTGGCCAATTCGGGCGGAGGGCAATCAGGCCTATATTCTGCCACTAACAACTGCCTAAATCCAATCACGATATTACAAACTACATGAAGTTTCAGCCTGGATTTCTATTAGGAGGAAATGGAAGTGTATTTCCTGAAGAATTTGCGAATATTCCCGAATTTTGTACAGTTTGCAATCTTGTTTATTCCAAAGTAATAATCGACATGGCAATATGCATGGTAAATCACATTTATGCAGTGGACCTCTGTATTTTCAATATCAGAAAGTAATCGAGACCTATGGTTCAAGTTATGGAAATACTTCAAAGAAGTATTTGTCTAAGAAATTTTCCTCTTCAAAATGGCTTTATTCCAAGAACTTGGTGGGTCATACTGAATGTGTGAATGCACTTGCATTTTCAGAACGTGGTGGAGAGTTTCTGGTTTCAGGTAAAGCATTAGCACACAATCGGGCAGTTCATCAGATCTTGACTTGGTCTTGGACTCTTGGTTTTGTATACCTCAGCTAGGGTTCATCTTAACTCAATGTATACCTACCTGCAGTGAATAAATTGATATATATGGGTACTTTACACTCTACCGTACCCAGTAATCGCATGCATTAGGGGGGTTTACAATGGTGTGTAAAAACTGAAAGCAAGTTATGTGGTTTAATATATGGTTAGTATTAGGGTTAGGGTTAAATCATTATTTATTAAATGAGCGGATAGATGGTTTATACTTAATATATGCAATTAATCAAGTCCAGTAAAAAATTTCCCTAAATCTACTGACGCCAATGCATTACTGCTTTATTAACAATCAATAGTATACTTCAGAATGATCGAATTGGATCTAACAAGATTGGTTTGTGTGAACAGACCCCTAATACGAACAAATACAGTATCACATAAAATGACAGTTGTGCTTGATCTTTAAACACAGTCGCCTGAGGTAAAATTTGCTGATGCACCAATAATAAAGTCTTCATTAGGGAGAGTTTGTTAAAGCTGTTAGGGGGGAACATTAAGAAAAATATCTTATATATTATGCAGTAAACAGTTAATCAAGCTATTTAGCCTTTATCATACTGTATTTTAGGTAATTTGTTAGTGGTATTTGATAATGTCATGTTGAATTATTTAGGTGGTGATGACCGGAGAGTGTTGGTGTGGAAGTTGAGTGAAGCCATTACGGGAAATACAACACCAAGATGCATGAAACAACAGCATCAATCCAACATATTTTGTGTCACTTTTGATCATGATAATAGACTGATCATTTCTGCTGGTGAGTAAAATTCTTAACTAGTGTAATAATTTTCAATAATAGATAATTAGTGTACATAATTTTTGTATAGCATTTCAATTGAAGGGCCAATAAATCTCTCGCTAATGAGTATAAAATTATCTGGTGGTATGATCAGTATAAAACAGTATATATCTATAGCAAACAAGACTTAATTAATAGAAGGTGCAAGTAAAACCCTAGTAACTAGATTAAAATTAGAACAATATTTTTCATTAGGTAAAGAAAGGAAAAGTTATATTTTACAGATTTTGTAAGGAATTTCCATTTTCCTGCATTCTGATTAGCTGAAATAATGCATGGAAAATCCCATAATCACTGGTTATCAATGAGCCATAAAAATTAACTTAATAATTCTTATACCCAATACTGGATCTAATGGAGGTCCAATATTAATTGTAAGGTTTGTGATTTCCTTGCCTTTTATGTATTAGGTAATGATGAGATTATTCTATGCCACGACTCTGAAAGGTACATACAGCTGAATACATATTTATTATAGTGTTGGTGTATTAATCTTTTATCTAAATTAAACCATTATATATCTCATCTAACAATAGTAGCCGGGTTTCAATTTGTACTAAAACAGTGCTATAGACGTAAATCATTGCTTTACCCAAAAATAGTTTCTTTTAAGCTCATGAATAATATATGTTATTAGTATACACCCGACTATTGTCTGTTACAAATCCTCCATTCTGATTGGCTACTCAACCATTGTCTACTCAACCATTGTCTATACTCAACCATTGGCTATTCGTGATGGTGAATGTTTGGGAAAAATTCGCTTGTGCGACCGTTTAAAATTGAATTAATTAAATTATTTTTCAGTGTAATTGCGGTGTATCGATTATTTTCTCGAAATTAATATATCTAGATACAGGGTGTATACTAAAACAATTAGACAACCCGCCTTCGTTGTCTATGAGCGAATAGTCAACTCAGGTTTGCCTTCGTTGACTATTCGCTCATAGACAACTCGGACTCGTTGTCTAATTGTTAAATAGACCATATATTCTACAATTTGAAATAATTAAGTCAATAATTTGTTTGATTGGTAAAATTCATTCAACTCTTGTACATATACTGTATATGTTAGTGTACATGTATCCTCTTTTTTCCCCATGCAGTTCCTACAAACCACATTTGTTAGCTTTTTTGCATATATAAAGCAAATTTAAATTAGGTTTTAGATTTAATTAACCTAGGGGAATATACAATGTAGTGAATGAATAGGGAAATGATACAGTGGGGTATATTTAGAAGGTGACTTTTTTATTTCCCAAGTATAATTAGTTTCTCAATTATATGTTGCTTGGCCATCTTTGTATGCGTTGACAGTTCAAATATGTCCATGTAGTGGTGAGCTGGTGAGGAGTTTTGATGCTGAAGCAAACACAAATGAAATATGTTTCCATCCAGAAGACACTAACATCTTTATTGCTGCAGAGGCTACCTTTGGTGAACTGACTTTGTTTGATATACGAGCACCAACAGGTAATATGTTTTTTCTTTTCTAGAACTGGTATGCACAATTAATAGACACTTCTAAGTGCACACAAAACAATAGCTTGGGAATGAGGCAGACAATGAAATCTGTTGTTTAGTGGGCTGGTTTTAATTGCCCGAGAACAAACGCAGGGAGTTTCTGTTGTACAGTAGCTCTGTAAATCTGTTGTTAAAAGATATCCCACTATTCATGTAATTTATGCTAGTCATTCAACCAATAGCTGTTGTAGGTATAGGCTTAATAACAGTTGTAAAAATGCTTGTATTTTTTCTTAATGTTCTATTATTTTTCTAGAACGTACAACACTTGCGGTTCCATGGCCAATTAAAGCAACCTTCTCGTATTTCCCAAACGTACCCAATTTTTCGTCAGCAAAGTTCAACCCTGTCGATCCATCCTTGATTGTGACCGCCAATTTGATAAACGGTGTACAATTATGGGACACCCGATTTCCGAGAAGGTTTGGGAGTCATAATTTTCACTTTTTGTGTGCTTAGATACAAGTAGAATCAATCATTACAAAAAAGAGAGTTTTAAACGAATACACACGTGCGGTACATACGCGTTTACAAATGGAAAACCTGAAATTCTGTCAATTTTTTATTTCTGTTCAATTTTCAATTTCATACTGTTTAAACAAGGCTATCTTTTCTCGCCCATGTTATTTACTCTATTGTTGAACTGCGTTTTTCCAGAAAGTATGAGCTGGCTTATTACAGCAAGATTTGTGGTAGTTAGTGTTAATTGTACCACATTTTTTAATTTAATAATCTTAAAAGGGTAATTCTGATATATGTATGTATAGTTTTTGTTTAATATTAAATTGTAAAATAATGGCATTGTATTACCACCTTAATCTTAATTTTTAGTCCACCATCTAAGAAATTATTGATCCTCTTTAGCATAAAAACTAAATAATTTGACGATTAGTGATAAGTAAAAGCAGCTGCATACTTTTGTTTGAAGGTGTTTGAGACACTTCGAGTCATCTTCCCCTAAGCGTGGGTCACAGATTGCCATGAGCGTGGCGTTTGATTGGACAGGACGCTATATCGCTGCCGTGAGAAAGTCCGACCCCCCGGTGTTGTACCACATCGACAGAGAATACTGTTTAGCGGAGTTTTGTGAGAAAGGTTATGGTAACAAAGTAACCAGGAAGTCGGTCTGTTTTGCTGGTCTAAAAGACGAGGTGGGTGCAGTATATAGTGGTCATAAATAGTTCTGTAGATCAGTATTTTTTATAACATCCAATCAAACTATAATACAAAAAATAATATGAAAATATTTTTATACACTTTCATGTATACTACATACTACTAAAGATACTAATATACAAATACTGTGCTGCATTGTGCTGTATCTTGCTTGTGCAAGTTTGATTTTATTAATCTTGGTAAGTGGCGTAGGAACCAAGGGGGGGGGGGGGTACGTGCCAATCGGGTGGGCACAGGTTCCCTTTTTGTGTCCTACGTATGCCCACTTACACGTGCCCAAATTTTATTGTAGAACATAAATATAAATCACATTAGTGGTGTCCTTGCAACTTTGGCAATCAAACCGTCTCTATACATATTTTAAGCTGCCTTCTATATTACCCAAAATTGCCCCTGGAAGCTGGTGCCCCCAGAAATCAAGCTTCTTATTATTAATTCGTAGTACATTTTATTACAATTGTATTAATTGTTTAATATTTATTTGACAAAAAAATTATTCAAAAAAAGTTTTCGGGAGTATGATTTTTTGCCTAGAATTTGCGAAGTAACATACCATTATTTGTTTTAGAGCGATATTATACAAATATCAGCCTTATTTGAACTATATAATTGTTCAAAAGCGAATAATAAAGAGCTACTTTTACCTCTACAGTTCATAATGACAGGCTCGGAAGATTTTAATATATACCTCTGGAAAGTACCGAAGCTAAGCAAAGATCACGTGGGTGTTGCGAAGGTAGAACAGAGCTCTCTTGCACTGGAGGGACATCGATCTATTGTGAACCAAGTCTGTTTCAACCATGACACAGCCATGATATGTTCTTCTGGAGTCGAGAAAATCATCAAGGTATGCGGCAACAGATGCTGCTCATTTATGTTTTTACATATGATGATTCGTTGAGAAAATAATACAAAGTAAAACACACCATATGTTGAATACCTAATGATAACATGATACATACTTTAAAAAACAGTTTACCAAAAAATATTTTACTACATTTTGCATGCGATTGTATAATTTCTAGATTTTTATTATCTAGATCTATTGTAAATTTTATTATATCCATATTAATTCAGATTTGGAGTCCATTTCAAATGTCTGGTGGAATCCCGGGCGATAAGGTTTGTGAAAAAAGGAGGCTGTACACAAACGAGGAATATGAGCGAATGTTAAATGAAGATTGGCCACGTGATTACGAGTCAACTGGGGAAGATGAGAAGATGCTGGCAATGGTCGATCAATGGTTACTTTCAAAAGAATTCCATTCCCCGTCAGATGACAGTGAATCTGACGAGTCACCCGCAGGGCGTGTCGGTGGTTTTGCTGATGAAGGAGAAAACGAATATCTCAACGAATTGAGTTCTCCAGAGTCTACAGATTCTGAATACTCGGAGAGTCCTGGCGCAAATAACCTGAGTATTGAAAAAGTTGAACACCTTGCTGACAGAATTTCTCAAAATCCGCAGGGCAAAGTGGACAAAATTTCCGCGAATGCTAGAAATTCGGACACAATTTCTCAAGACACCGAGCCCCCAGAAAATATTTCGCAAAATGCAACGAGCTTAGCTGGACTAAGTGCGAAAAGCTCTGATCAAAATTCTCAAAAGAGCACAGGCGAGAATTTCGAGAGTACTGTTAAAGGCATTGATAAAAATTCTGAGATTGGGAAAAGCACGATTATCAATTCTCAGAATTCTGATGGTGTAGGGTTGGAACGTTTACGCGAAATAATACCACCGCATGATCGTCCAAGAAATTCATTGGCTCGCATCGCGGAACTTCGCAGGAAATGTCTGAAGGATGAAGATGACTGAATATATGCATAAGCTATTTTCCGTCCCTCTGCAGCATCTCCCAAGAATTAAACCGTGACGAAAATGAAACGTAATAATTTTTTTAAGATGCAACAAGTCCCACAAATCAATACATCATTCAAGTTTTAACTGTCCAAGTTTCTTTAGTCACATTTGAAATTTTGCGCAGATAAATCCTAACCAATTCTCTGAAACAAATATCAGGGTCGAGCAGTTACATTGAATTCATTGTTGTACGTCTTGTTACATTTTTAGTTTTATTCCCATTATATTTGTTCATATCCTCGAGAACAAAAACAATTCCTTTAGTTATTCATTTTTGAATCATATCCTGCTGCTAGGGTGCAGGTTCTAAAACGCGGATTATAGACGTAAGAGTTTGTATAAAGTGCATTGACTACACTTTCTCTTTTTTTAATAGAAGGGGTCTGAAATGGCGGGAAATAATCAAACTTTTTTAGCAAGCTATATAGTCAGCTACTCCCCGCTACATTTTGGCAAGCGCAAAAACGTAATAATTGTTTCATTCTTGCGGTAAACGATGGAAATGTTTGCATGCATTTAACAAAAAGCATTTGCTTGTGGCCTGTATTAACTGATGGCTTGTCAATCACACTATAATATACATTTGTACAATTAATGCGTATTAAGGCTAGTTCCACTTACAGAGAAATAGTTCGCTGGCGAAATACTTGCATATTCTCATTTGAATCGAGAACAGTGATGTTGAACTTTTGATGCTTTTAAAATTCTAAAGAAAATATGCAAATTTTTCGCTAGCGAACTATCTCTCTATAAGTGGAAATCCACCATAATTGGTAAATTATTAATCGTCTTAATCGCACTTAATTCTTAAAGCATAAAGTTAAAAACACGCAATTTTTCTCGTCAGTTTTTCAGGATTCTCGCAAACAGAGTTAACAAAGAAAATTGTATTCAATAAATTAAATCCGAAAATGGCTTCATTTGTAGTAAACAGTTGGGTCCTATTTCTGGTGTCAATAATGTCACAACCGGGATATTGCTTAATAAAGGAGTCGCTGTTTCGCAAAGTCGCCAAGCGATACTTGGCAAATCATGTCATTGATACAAAACTGGCGGAAAGCGAGCTCGAATGTGGTGTGTATTGCGTCAGTGATGGTTCATGCACATCTGCAAATTACAAAACGTCTGGAACAGGTAAAGGTCGATGTGAACTCAACGATAAAACACTTCAAGAGACTTCTGAAAACGATAAAAAAACAAATCCTGAATTCAACCATCTTTATCTCATCAGGCCTGTGGGTAAGTTTTAATTATTGAAGCCCAAGTAAATACTTATGACTTATATAGACTATACTGTCATGCAATCAACGATTAGTCACCAACTCTTGTGTATAAATAATAATGACGTGCCACTTAAGGCCATGTTACACGGTGCAATTTTTCTTGCAACTTGCAATGCAATTCTACTTCTAAGAGATGTAGATTAGCGAAGAGTCTTTAAAATGTTAGTGTAAGAAGCGCCAAGGAGTCTAATAAAGACAAAAGTTCGGTAGTTGCCAAATTTACATCTCTTAAAAGAAGAATTGCATTGCAAGTCGCAAGAAAAATTGCACCGTGTAACAGGGCCTTTAGTGGGTTATATTTTCTCGACTATTCTAAGGGCGAAAAAGCGAATTAAGGCTGGCTTAACTAAAGGTTCCGCACTATTTCGTGGGCATGAGTATTTATGCCGGCCGGCTAAATCGTCGATGTAGGCTGTTTCTAAAATTATCCCAGTAAATAACTTTCAAGTTGATATAAACTATATACTATACGATGGGTAAAGCATTCTGTATTTCCTGTTGATATATTCATATGTACTTTACTTATATATATGGTGTAAAGCAGTCTATATGTTTTCGTTTTTCGATTATCCCAAGGAAACTGAAATTATAATACCATAAAAAATCAAATGCGTAAATTTATTTACTAATGTTTGTAGAAAAATACTTTTCATGTACCGAGCTTTTAAAATTCTAATAACGAACTCTGTAACATGCACTCTTTAAGTTTTTTACATTCGATTCGTCAAATAAAAAATTCGTCGTATGAAACAGGTCCAAACTACTTCTATATTATTTATTTGTGTAATTATATACGCTTATTATCGCGTACTTATAAATGCTGAAATCAGCAAGGAATACTCTTATATACCTGCCATTTATATAGGCGTCCTTCTATTTGTATAATGGACCTGTTTCTTTTAATTAACAAAGCGTGACTGAGCTGATATAACTACGATATACAGATCTGATTTGGCATTTTCGCGCCAACTCTGATTGCCTACGCCATTTGACGATCGTGTCGCTGCGCTGTTGAATACGCAGTTATTCAACAATTCTCAAAACTCCACGACTACGAGTTTTGGCTGATGGCGTAAGCAAACACGCGAGAATGACGAAACGTGTACTATATATAGTCGTGTACTATTAAAATTACTATATTAAACTTCTATATAACCTTGCCTATATATATAAACACTTTCAGAGATACAACAAACTTGTTCGATTGCGAACTGGGCGACGAGTTTCAACAAGCAGGGCTTCTCAAAATGTGACCAGGAAAATCATTTTATCTCAGGACTTTATCGAAAGTCTCCGTCAAACGGTACCAATCCAGATCCCATCTCCTTGCTTGAAGCTGCAAAATGTTGCGCTTCGACTCCAGCGTTCTGCGCTCAGAGTAGCGTATGCGTGACAGCAGACTGGCACACTAGTTTTGATCGGTACGTATTGTTTACACATATACTGTCATAGCTAATTTTAAGCATTTTTTATGCACTGCACATATATCATCACAATATTCTGATAAAACATGGGACATGATAAAAATGGTCCTAACTGGAAACTGGTAATTTAAAAATGGGGGAATTGTAGGGGTCTGCAGGATCTCTTCCAGTAAATTTTCTTTATTTTTGAGTCTCTATGACTTCATTTCCAGCGTTTTTGGGGACAACTACTTGTGAATCCATCTCGGCAGAGTGAGGTCTTCTGAGAAAATACCATTTATCACTGTACATTTCTCATTTTATCACTGCACATTCTACTTTTATCACTGCAGAAATTGGTTTTCATTGAACACAATAAAATTAGGTACGACCAGTTTAAAACATTTCAAAGCTTTATTATTATAACGTATAAATCGTGCAAAGAGCAATTGGTAATTTAAAAATGGGGGGATTGTAGGGGTCTGGAGGACATCTTGCAGAAAATTTTCTGTATTTTTGAGCGAGCTCCTATGACTTGATTTTCAGCATTTTCGGGGACAATCCACCTCGGCAAAGTGAGGTCTGTTGAGAAAATACCATTTATCACTGCACATTTCTCATTTTATCACTGCACATTTTACTTTTATCACTGCAGAAATTGGTTATCCTGCACACCAAAATTAAGTATGCATACTGTTTAACATTATTTTCATTATTGGGTTGTGTGTATAGAGAATGCATAAAAGGGAAAAATCCTTCACATATTGCATGCAATTTCACTTCACAAAACTGACCGCGGGCTGTATGAATTACAAGGAAGCTGTTTGCGTGTTTGAAAGATTTTACTTTTAGTCATAATGGCTCGATCCTTTTCACGGAAATCTTGATATTTTTCGCATGCAAACACGAAGATAACCATTCGGGAACTTGTCAAGGAAAGTTTAAACATTGGCGGAATCTTTATAACCTTATTGGCTCATGCAGCATGTGCATGTTAAAATAACCGGCTGTATTTTACAAATTATATGTTCCAGAGATGCATCGATTATATACGACTAAATATGTATAGGTCCGTTTACATGCACTTTTTGCTGCGATTTTATGCATGTGCATGCGATTTCTTCTTTAGATAGATCTGAATGAATAATTTGTTAAGAATTATCTGATGTAATACTATAAGAGCTGTTATTTGAACATCAGTAACTAATTAATTCGTCCGCATGTATTAAAAGAAGAAATATAAGGGAAAACATACTCCGAAAATAAACATCTTGTAAACTCAAGATATGAGTTGTTAAAAAATAAGACACCATATATTCAAGGTGATATTTCGACTGTATATTTCAAAGTCATTGTCAAACATAACTATTTACAAGCATGCTACGATCTTTATACAAAAGAATCGCAAAAAGTGTAAGCGGGCATTATATGAGTTTCGTGACGCTATAGCAATTCAAAGCGATCTTGAAAAAAATTTCCTAAAAATTACTCATTAATTCTGAGTTTTCTAGGTTTTTTCCCCACATATAGTAACAAAAAGTGGAATCGTTGTCCAATCGGTTACTTTTGGAGGGAATAAGACGCGCTTCTGGCAATTATTTACATAATATCAACGGAGGTAATTGCTGCAAACCCAACAATTATCCTGACAAATCTCGATCGTGTTATGATGAAGATGTCAGTGACTCCTTTGGAAAAGAAGGATGGTCAAACTGTTCAAAAGCTTTGCATTACATTACTGGTCTCTATCGAGGAATTGGCATTAAGCTGGGCGATATAGACAAATTTCGATGCTGTGAAATGATCGAGTAATCAAGGATCCTATAAGCAGAATATTGTCCCCTGCTATATATATAGAGGTGTATATTCGTCACATTAACATTACGAATGTATACAAAAAAAATAGCAGAATATATAGATCTTAACGCTTTTAGATTGGGATATCACAGCACAGTTTATATATACATGCATTATGGAATATAAAAAGCCTTATGGAATATATTATATGGAAATATGGAATACATGTTTTCAAGCGCTCTCAGAAGAAACAAGTTGCTGCATTATTCATCTACCTGGGACCGGTTGTATATATTTAAAAACCGGTTAGCTTAACAATGCAGGGTTAAAGCAAATCTTGACATTAATTTTTCTAACCTCTTTTTGATAATCATTTTTTCATCAATTTTTTAGGACCGATAGAAGTTATATTTTCTAAACGCTTTACAACGCACAGTTGTTCAAAAGCACATGCATAAACCAATAAAAACTCTTGAATATAATTTAACCCATAGAGTTAGCGCTAACCTAAAGCTTTGAACAACCGGCTCCAGTATGATGATAGATTCACTTGAAGATGCCACTTCTTTTATTCTTGCATTTTCATGTTCTATTTGCTTGGAGACGATGTCTTGTGGCGTTCATGTTACATGTCTTGTAAGCGACGCGCGTATGCAGGTCACTTCACGTCGGCATATATTATTAGGGACCTCAAAGCGATTCTCCATTACGTCCGCTCCGCCCACATGGGCGAAGCGCACTTTGTTTTTCAGACCTGTCACGATCGCATGGCCACAAATTCAAAGGCCATTTGCCCGCGCGGGTGAAGCGGACGGTAATGGAGAATTGCCTTTAAGCATATTGGACGGCAATACGATGACGACGCGGCTGAAATTCTCCTTTAAATAAATGCTATGGCAAAGTGGTTGTTGAATATTATTAATTGTACCGATTTAGTGAGATATAACGCGTTAAAAACATTGTGTTTATGTTTATTAAGGACAATTCTATAGAGCCTAATTCGAGGTAGGGCTCGCTGGGTCCTGAAATGCAACCGTTCTAGGCAAGACGTGA